CCCCACCAGGCCCAGGGTCTTCCGAGGACAGCATAGTATCCATCAAGTGGGTGCCCACAAGGGCTGGGCTGGCACCTTGAGCAGGAAGAGCAGGCCAGGCCTAGCTGGCTGATGTCAGCAGTCAGTGTGCGGGTCTTTGGAGTGAGGCAGGCCTCAGAGCTCCTCATCTGAGGAGCATGGTTCCCTAGGTCCCAGCCAGGAGCTGACATGGAGAAACACAAACCCACTGAGGCCTGCATTTCCCATTTTCCAAGAAAGCTAGAAATCTAGATATTTAGGGGAAATGTTCAGGCTTTTAACTGTGGGCCCCCATTTTTGAAAGTACTTGAAAGCCTCAGAAAGCATGTCAGCAGGCCAGCTTCACCCACAGCCCGCCTTGAAGGTGTGACGCTGCAGGAAGGCAGGAAGCAGGGTTCACAGGAAGCTTTCCTTGGGTGCATGGACCAGGGGCACCCCAGGCATCCGCAGGGATTGGAATGAGCGGGGCCTGGGCCAGGAGGCAGGCATGGAGGCCAATGCCCTTGGCAGCTTCAGACCTGCGGGAACCCTAGCTGGCTCCTGGGGCCAGCCCCCCCCTGTCCTGTGTCCCCTGTGATATTTGTCTCAGGGTGGGAGTCACAATGGTGGAAGGACACACTTCCTGAACCTCAGGGTGGGTGCCCTGTGGTCCTTGCTGGGTCAGGAAGAGCAGGAGGTGAGGAATCACCTGTAGGTCTCTGGAATAGCAGCTAAAACTGGGCCTCTGTGATAGATTCCCCTGAGCAGTCCTGGCCCTGCCCCTGCCCCTGCCTCTGTGGGTGTCCTCCCTGCCACAGGCACACAGAAAGACAGGGAGGAGAGACCCCGAGTGTTCAGCAGCCCTGAAGGAGGCATCCAGGCCTGGGTGCCCAGCTGAGTCATGAGACATGGTGTCTTCAGGCAGCATTATGGCTCCGCTTACACCTTACATCAGGGAGGGCCTGGCTGAGTGCACAGCCAGTACCCCTGGGGCCTGAGGGAGCACCACAGATTTCAGGGCAGGAATAGCACTTTGAGCCTGCACTGTGCAGGGACCAAGGCCTTTCCTGAGCGTGTTGGTTCAGGGATGGTAGGGAGAGAGTCCTTGAGTGTGCTTAAGGCCCAGCTGCCTCCTCCTGGACCCTCAGTGACACCAGATGAAGATTTGACCCAGTGGACACATAGATGTTGGTCAAACACTGCTCCTTCCTTACAGGAGCCTCTGCAAATTCAGTTTTGGGGGAGGATCTCCAGGATCAGGGAGGTCAGAGGGGAAGCAGCCCTCCACTCTTCCACACTCAGACTTTTGAATGTTGTCCTTGCAGATCCTACCATGTGGTTATTCATGGAAATGGCTTTCAGACTCTAAAGAAACAAGATGAAGTTATTTGCAGATTTATCTTCAAACGAAAGCACTATCATTGGTAAGTTGTCTCCTCGGTGCCTCTGAGTCACGTATTTCCCATACAATACTGCCTTTCCCCACAGCCAGCCAAGCCTCCCAGCCCTTGCCAGCTGTTCCCTGTGGACCCTGTGGGGTTAGAGGCCATGAGGACAAGTGGAAGGAGGCACTGGGAAGCCCGGCCACCCCTCCCTTCATCTGCCAAGCGGGGAAGTAACAAATCCCAAGAGAGCATCTCAGATCAGGGCTTCCCCCTCAGTGAGGCTGGGTTTAGGACTGGGTCTGTCATCACAGCTGCATCTGCCCACCTTAGCCTCAGTTTCCCCTTCCCTTGAGAGCCCAGGACCCGAAGCCCACAAGGCTACTCCTGGGAAATGGTGGCAGCCCCGGAGGTCTGAGCCTGGCTAGCCAGGTGCACCAGTAGCTTGCCCAGAGGGGTGTGTTTACCTTGCATTGAGGGAGGATGCCAGCCTGTAGGCCTGGGCCCTGGAATCCTGGCTCAGGCACACATTGCCTGTGTCACCTTGACCAGATGAGTGTTCTACTCTGAGCCTCAATTTTCTCAGTTTAACATGGAGCCATATGGTGCTGCTTGTGTGTTCTTTAACCAAAATGCTTGGGACCACCAATATTTTAGTTTTTAGATTTTTTTTTTACGTTTTGGAATGTGTGCATTATGCTTATGTTTCAGCATCCCTAATCCTAAAATTTGAAATCTGAAATTCTCTGAGCATTTCTTTTGAACACCATGTTGGTGCTCAAAAAGTTTCAGATTTTGAAGCATTTTGGGTGTGGATTTTCATATTACAGATGGTCAGCCACAGTTGCACCTAGCTAAGCAAAATCACATATGTAGAGCAGTTGGTTCGTGGAAGGGCTATAGCATTTTTTAAAAATCTCCTATTATTTGGCAATAGGCATCAGAGGACCTCTGTGATGGTGGAGTGGCCTGAGGAAGCGCACAGTCCAGGCAGACACTGTGCCCTGGGTGCTGGGGAGGGGGGTGTGCTCTTCCCCACTGAGTGCCTGGGGTGCAGTTGGATTTTTGCATCCTCCTTGATCTTCCCAGGTGGCCCCTTGATACATTCATTTGATGTGATGATAGTATGTTCACTGACATCTAATTCTAGGGCCATGTGCTAATCCCAGGATGACTTCTCTTCCCCCAAGAGGCTTCTTGGCCATTTTCCTCCTTTCCATGAGTACATAGGAAGGGCTGGGCCTGTCGTCCCCACATTCCCACTCATCAGCATTGTGTGGATGGTCTCAGGAAATTCAGTTTTCACTGGGTTATACTTTCCAGGAGTGTCTTAGGAACCGAGCAGCCCCTTTCTAAGGAAAGGTAACGCTTATTGAGCACTTACATCAGATATTGTGCCAAGTGCCTTACACACAGTATTTCCCTGAATCCTCAAAGCAGCCTAACAGAAATTCCTTTGTATGTGTCAACCTAAATAACAGACAGACAAGGACTCTTTACAAGAAAATGATGTTCATCTGAGAATGGGCATCACAGTGGGAACGCGCATGCCATAGGAAACTACATGCATATTCAGGAAAGGTAGATTTGACAGGAGATGTGAGGAGGATTACATAATTATTTGAGTTAATTCTTCTTGGCTACTAAGGTCAATAATAATAGAGATGACCCCAATGTGAGGTTGCATGGGCAGTTGCTGGGCAGATGTCCTGGCAGAAGTATTTTTTGTGTAAGTTTGCAATGGTCTTTGTACAAGGTTGTAGTTTTTACAGATTTGTGGTAGTTTTTGTTATCAGGTATACAAGCTTGTGAATCTTCTCTTCATAAACTTCCCCAATTCAGCTTGCCAGGA